GGGGGGGTAAGGGAATTTCCCATCTGAAAGAGCCTCTTTTATTTACCAGCACAAAGGGGTATTAAAAAATGAGAAGTAGCGGTTGAAAAAGGTATGGAGAAAGCCAATCCTCGAGTTCCGGTGTTTGCCCCCTTGTACCAAGCAACGTTAAATGGAAAATAACACGTTTTGTTTAGGTTTTATCGGGTTGTGACCGGATGATGGGGTAGAGGTGGTTAAAAAATACGAGAGTACCATTATCGGGTGAGGGAAAATGAACAGGATGAGCATTAATTCGTGATGATTTTTTAATGAATTCGGATAATGAGTGATAATTCCTATCGCGACAGATCAGAAATTCAATGGGACTCAGTAATTCCTCATACCTCAAAATGGAAAAGTCATTTCAGTAATTGTCTTGGGTTTGCTTGGGGCTGACGGATTTTTACTAATTTCCTTTTAATTACATTTTTAGTTTAATTCTTTATCTTCTCGTTGGTCAGCCTGTTCTCTCCACTCATGATTGTTGGTTGATTTTTTTTTTTTTTTTTCGTTTTTAATGTTCAACAAAATGATACATTCTCGAAATCATAAGGGCAGTAAGATAAAACCTGGTGAAACGAGGATAATACCGTTACCCTCGAGCCCGGTTGTCGCTTCGTACTTTCACCGTAAGTCTCGGAAAGGAGCACGGCTTGATTTGGCCCGGGGTGCGGATCCCCACCACTTCCTCAACCTCACTGGTTTTAAACATAAAACCGGGATGATAACTTCCCTGAACCGAGAAAATACACCGTGGTATGTTGTGCATCGGCTGCCCTGGGTTTTACTACCTTTGAGAGTACGACTACATACGCGAAGGCACGGGGTGTGACGGGGACACGAGGATAAGGCAATGCACTGTAAGGAGCTCACGACTCTTCCCTCCCCGTGGCGACCTTTTTTTTTTTATCATTTTTTTTTATCTAGAGGGGGACTGGTCGGGTCTCTCGCACTCGCGGGACCGCGAATCGTGGTATCTCTTGTCGATGTCTAGGTGGAGACTAGGAGAGGGCGCGTCCGTGTCAATGAGTTATTTTTATTTATTTTTTTTTTTTTACACTCGTCACGGAAAAATTCAATATTCTCAACCCTTTCTCATCGTGATTTCCCGGAATACTTCACGGTAATCACCCGGAAAAAAAAAATGACTGTAAAAAAATTAACTCGACTCGCGGAAGTTACGACTTCCGGAAGGCGGTGCGCGCGCTCGCCCCCGTTTCCGGTAATCGCGACCCCTGGCCCAATGGCCCATCACTTTCACATCTCCATAATAGCCCCATACCTAAACAGAGAAAAATAATAGAAATAAACATGTAAACAATGCACCGAAAAAGTGGCATTCACACGACGAATATTTCCATAGTTATCGAAAATTCCGGTCATTGTTATGGAAAATTGGTGGCGGTATTTTTCCCCTTTGGAATTTTTGGTTTTTTTTTTTCCTTTTTTCACTCTCTGAGGCAAACACAGGTGCATGAGACAGGTCTAGTGGGGAAATGAGTTGAAAAAATAATGTTGGGATGGAGAGAGGAGTGGAGAGATATGGAGGAGAGTTTGTGATAAAAATGAAGTCCTCGTTCTCGTTTATCCCTGGGTAGGAGAAGGAAGAGGTCTCGAGAAGACACGCGCTCACGCTTTTTGAGATATTTACTCTCTCACTTTGACTCATGGATAAAACACACGTGACGTGCGTGGATATGCGTGCATATACGCGTGGGGTCGATGAACGAGCTGGGGGTTTTACACGAGGAAAGAAGTGGCAGCAACGACGCCAGGAGGAGAATATGTACGTGGAGAGTTTTCGATGCCCCAGCCAAGCAACCCACTTTACGATGAGTAGACGAGACTTTTACTGAGGTGAGGTTTTTAAGGAGGGTGCGACGCGACGGATATAAGTAAACGGTGGAAACTAGTTTTTTTTTTTCTTCTCACTTGGATCTTGCTGGGATTTCCTACAATTTCTTCTCAATTTTTGAAAATTTCATGCGAGTTTAGGATGTCCACGTAAAATTGAGGGAGCTAGGTTTTTTTTAAATACCTCTTGATGGGTCTTACCTGAATTTCTCGCAATTTCTTTTCAATTTTTGAAAATTTTATCCGAGTTTAGGTTGTGATCGGAAAAATGGGGAACGTAGGTTTCTTTCTCATATCTCGACTGGTTGTGTATGGATCTTCTACAATTTTTTATCAGTTTTTGAAAATTTGTTCCAAATTAGGCTCTTCGGTTTTTGAGGTATAATTCTTGTCTTCTTTTTTTATTGAGGCGTGTTTATTTGAAAGCTCGTTGATTAAGCTTCAGAAAGCGCGTGAATTGCGGAATTCCTATAATTTTTTAGTTATCGTAGCATTCGGTAAAATTAATGAAAATATATTACACATCACTTGAGAGGTCTTAATGAGCTCGTTATAAAGTCGTTTGAGTTTTCCAATTCCGTCGATTTGATCGACAGTCATCGATGATAAGTTGTCAAATTTCAAGTGACCCATTTTCAAAAATCATAATTCCTTTTGGATAAAATCCATTTCATACTCCTAATATCATATAAAAATATTTTTTCTGTTCGCTTCACCGGATAAATTTTATTTTTTAATTTTCTTAGTAATAACCCCATAAAGAATTAATAATTTTGATCACGATGTCGGGTTAAATTATCCCATCGTAGTAAAATTAAATAAATTCATCGTATTGACGGGGATCAATAGCCTTTCCGTTTTATAACATCTCGAGTCGATTACCAAAACCGGCAGAATAACATTGAACTACCGTTGGGGGGAAGGGGGAACTCGTACCCCAGACTCGGTACTCCACAAAATGTATAGCCTATGTGCCTTTAAATCACCTCCATTGCTACTTGCTATCACCATCAGAAATGGCTCTGGCTTAACTGAAGATGTTCGAGGATGAAAGTAGGTAGGTAGGTAGGTGGGTAGGCGGAAGTCGGCTTAACGGTAACGACAACAACTCCTTGACATGCCACACCACGAAAATCTTGGCTATCGATGCCCATGCATTTTTTCTCCATTTTTTTTTTTTTTCATTCCTTTTTTTTTGTTCAACTTCACTCTCCATTGTGAGTGGTGCTGAGGTAGCTATCGGGTTGAATGTGTGCACGTTTTGCTTGATAAGCGGTGCTGAGGAATTTCAAGGGGGGAGATAATGATATTTTCCCTCAAGAATTTCGGTTTTTTTTTTTCGTCCGTGGATATTTATCAAATGCAAATATTTCATTTTCTCCCCTAGATGAGGCGAGAGACTGCAGGGATAATTTAAACTTTTCTTTTACTTGAGACTAAAATTTACTGTTGGAAAATTACTAGTGAAATTTAACAACTTTTTAATTGAAACTCAATTCGGACGATTTTGTGACTGAAAAAATCAAGTTCTTCAATCGATTCAATATGTAATAATTATTACATATTTCAAATATCTATTAAAGGATCTGTTGTAAATAGAATAATTTTCTTTGAGAGACGTTTCTATGGGAAAAACGTCTTCTCTCGAGTTTTTTTTTTGTGTGAGGTTTTAAATATAAATCTAGTCTCCATAAAAAATTATGACTCCTAGCATCAAGTTAATTCCTTTATTCAGGTCAAAAGCGTAACATTTACGAAATCCAACCGCCCACCAGTTGATACCAAACCAGAGGGGGATATGCAGCGGGATATCACCCTCTATACGCCTTCCTCCACTGGCCGCCTACATGAAAACATTCCCCAGAATTACACGTAGTTTTTTATTTTTATTCCACATCCAACAGCCGCGCCAACGAATGAGGAATCTTTTTTACCTCGTTTGGAAAAATAAAAGCCTCGAATTGCCTCGTAAAAAATGAAACAGTAAACATGAAAAACACCAAAAAAAATCAGATAACAGTTCAAATAACGCAGAATCCATAAAAATCTCGAACCATGAAATGAAAAA